ATAAGTCCACCTACCAAAATAAGCGCAACAAAAAGTGATACATAAGAAATTATTGTAATACTGTGTTTATCAGTACTGAGAGTCTTATCACTTGGTTTTTCTGATTTATCGCCACCAAAGTCTATGTCTTTTGGAAGTTTAAAACTATGTTTAAATAATCCCCCATCATAGAGAACTTTTGTACTTAATGTTTTATATTCTTTATTTTTTTCATCACCGTGCTTTTTTCACTTTATCTCTATCATATCATTTGACAATTGCCCCTTTTCCAACTTATCAAAATTTGCATCTTGACTATCTTTTTCTATTTTTATGTCCATCACAATCTCTTTTCCATCTTCTTTTTTACCAATTTTCACTTCTTTAAGTTCTTGTTTTTTTATATGTATTGTCTTTTTATCTGCCATATTCTATTATTTTAATGTTATTTCTATTATTTGAATTATATTTTTAATTTTTTAATACTTTTTTATGGAGCGAATAAAGGGAATCGAACCCTCATCATTAGCTTGGAAGGCCAAGGTTCTACCGTTGAACTATATTCGCAATAGCGGAAGTTTCGATTTTCCGCTGTTCATTAATCTATTTTCCGTTCGCAATCCTTTCTTTCAAGTCCTTACTAATGGCAAACTTTGTTCGTCTTTTTGCTGGAATAATCATCTTTTTTTTAGTTCTTAAATTCATCGCTGTGCGGGACTTAGCCATAAAAGTTTTTAAAGAAAAATAATTAGGAAATCTAATTTCTTCTTCCTTTATTAAAGCTTTTTTGATTTCTTCCAATACTTCACTAATTACTGCTTCAATTTGAGATTTAGTTAAGGAAAGTTTTCTACCATTTGAACTATAAATTCTTTCGGCAATTTTTGCTTTCCCTACTATCGACACTGCTGATGACGCTTTTGTTTTTTTAGTTGTTACCATATATTTCTTATTTTTATTATATTTAATTACTTGGTGGTTTAGGGCAGGATCGAACTGCCGACCTTCTGATCTTCAGTCAGACGCTCTAACCGACTGAGCTACCAAACCTTTTAACTGTTGTTTATTGTTATTACTCGGAAATGACCTGCATAATCAGAGAAAATAGAAACTTCGGCTTGGGGAAAGTGTTCTATTATTAATTTTATAACTTTTTCTTTTTGTTGATAACCTATTTCTACTACCACCAGAAACTTTTTGGCCAGAAATTTGTGAACTTGTCGGAAAATGTTCTGATAAAAAAAATAAACATCATTTTCGGCTACCAAGGCTTCTTTGGGCTGTTCTTTGGTGGCGAGAGATAGGTTTTCGTACTCGTCAGTACCGATATAAGGGGGATTAGAAACAATAATATTAAATTTTTCCTTTAAATCTAGATTATTACATAAGTTGCTTTGGATAAATTGAACATTTTTTGTTTGCTGTGTGGCAGCGTTTATTCGAGATATTTTTAAGGCTTGTTTATTACTATCAACCGCCATAAAATTCCACTCGGGTCTACTTTTAGCCAAAGAAATTACTATATTACCACAGCCAGTTCCGATATCCAAAACTTTTAATTGTTCCTTTTGTCTCCAAATTTTATCAGCTAATTCCAAAGTTTTTTCCACCAATATTTCGGTATCCTTTTGGGGGATGAAAACTCCTTTTTCCACATAAAAAGATAAGCCATAAAATGAGACTTTATTAACTAAATAAGGAACGGGGTAATTTTCTTTCAGATATCCACTTAAATTATGGCAAATCCGAGAATAATCAGAAGTAGATAACGATTTATCAGCAAATCCTAACCAAAACTTCTCCGGAACAGTTTGACAAAGAGTAATTATATCATTTTTTACTTCCTTGGCATCAATATTTTCCTGTAATAAAAGAGCATAATTTCAGCAATCCTGATAGGAATATTTAATTTTCTGGTTTTCGACCATTTTTATTATTAATTATTTTAATTTTTCCTAAAAATCGAGCAGTGGAGAAGAATACAGAAGACGAGGTAGTAAAAAGTGGTAAGTCTTATGTTTCGCAAAAGAGAGAAATTATTATTTAGCAAAATATAACGTCATAACCAATTCGCAAATTACTTTTATTATCTTTATCTTTTTTGATACTACGAACAACAATTTCTTTGATTTCGGAAGTATTTTTGACATGAGTTCCTCCGCAAGCATGAGCGGCAAAAGCACCAATGATAACAGTTCTGACCTGACCATTATATTCAACCTTTATGGCAAGATTTCTTGCTACTAGTTCATTAGCCAAGTTAGAGATTTTTTCTTTGTTGGTTTGAATATCAGTCGGGATTTCACCCGCAAAAACGACAAAAGCTTGCCCGTCGGGAAAATGGTTGGCGCGGATACCTTTTAGAGAAGGATAGATTTGGTTAACGGCATCTTCTAACAAATGACCGGCCGAATGTAAATGAGAATAGAGAAGTCGTTTTGCCCGGTCAATTGTTTGGATAACTTTATCCCCCTTTAAAAAATCCCCCTCCCCGTCATAATAGTGTTTAATAATATATGGTTCCTCGTATGGATTACGGGGTGCTGCTAGTTTCTTAACAGCATAACGTTGACCTGCTATTTCTAAGTAGCCTTCATCATTGGGTTGCCCACCTCCCTGTGGATGGAAAATAGTTTTATCGAATACCACATAACTGCCATTGTCATCTTTTCCTCTTTTCAATATCTGGACTTCTAATTTATCTAAGTAAGTGTCAGTGTAATATACTCTTTCCGTAGAAATATTAGTCATATATAATGGTGGATAGTTTTTTAAGAACTGCCGACAATTTTTATTAATAATTTGGTGGAAAAATGCTTGCGTTATCTCACTAGTTTTAATAACTGGTGGAGATGACGGGATTGAACCCGTGTCCTTAGACGGCTAGTAATTACTTCTACAACTTAGTTTATTAGTGAATTTCCCTAATGAGCATTAATAAACGAATACATTTCAATAGGTAGGGTATTTTTTTGAATAGACAATTAACAAGTAAATAAGCAAACTTTAATAATTGACCCAAATTTTATTGACGAACCGGCTCAAATTGGGTGAACCGATAAGAACTAATTAAGGATTATATTCTTGCGTAGTTGTTTCCTAGGTTGTTATTAAACAATCCGTAAGGAATATTGTGACTTTCGTCGTTAGTAATAGTGTCTTGATTTTTTTAAAACAAGTTTATTGCCATAATTACCGACTTCAATCTAAGTCAAAACTCGCATCCCCATGCGTATTTATTATGTCTTTATCATCTATATTATAATTTTAAACTTTTAACACGCTTGATTAGGTGGTAAAATTCACAAGGCCAAAAAGAAAACTTAGGCACGCATTAAGTATCTCCAAAGATTACCAGGCCAATTGACTGAAATACATTTTTGAGGAGAAGTTAAAAGCAGAAGAGGCTGGGGAAATATTACGAGTAATTAAGGAAAGTATTATGTCAACTAATGATGAAAAATGATTAAAAAATATGAAATTTAACCGTAATCTTTTACTACAAGAGTAAAAAAAGAGGAAAAGATAGTACGTAAAAAAACTGTCCGATTAAAGGCATTAAGATTAATTTAAAAAAATATGAATTGAGTGATAAAAAGATAAACGAAACAGACTTAACTAAAATAATAGAAGTGGATTTGGATCAGGATAATCAGGAACCAAGCGAAGAAGAACTAGGAGTGGGGAAAACAAAATCCAAGAAAAGCTTTAAAAAAGATAAAGAGGGAGACGCACCCTACATATTAAAGTACTAAGTTGTGAAACTAGTCTACATAAAATCCACCATGGAACCAAAGAATTGCACAGCACTGTGTTTCCTTTTAAAACGAGAACGAGGGGGAAAATTGCTCCTTATGTTTTTTAAATTGGACAGTATCCAAACTCCACAAGAGTATTTAAAACAGGAAAGAATTAAATACGAGGCTTGCCAAGAAATTGTTGAAAATGAAATAGAATTTTTTTAATGAGGGCCGGGAATTAGAAAAGGCAACAAAAGAGTATATCAAACAAAAGCATCAAAAAAAGTAAGCAGCAATAAATAAATTTTACCAGAAGCATGAAGTAAAAGAAAAGCCCAAAGATATTTAAAAAGTAAAAAGAAAATCAATTATTTGGAAATCCTCCAAACCTACAAATTTTTACTAATATATTTCACTATTTAGAGATAAAAGTAACTAAGGGTGAAGGTAAAACAGTTAACATTTAATCATTAAGTAATGACTGAGTAAATTTGAGGATATGATTGCATTTAATCTTAACTGGACAAAAAAAGATAGGTAGATTTACTCTGGTTGGTCACTGGCAAATTAATCATCCGAAGTTTCTTGGGAATTAATCGTGAAGTTAATTTCGAGGTTAAATGGTTAAGAAAACGGAACTAACTAATTATTCGGGACGTTGGTGAGTCAGTTATCAAGGTAAAACTTATCGGTTGATTTTTTGATTTGAAGATGATGTTCCTAACCATCTGTGAATTAGAAATTGTTATCCCTTAAACCAATCTTTTTGTTAAGGAAGATTTAAAACTCCTGTTGATTATACCCACTCACACAGTGCCAACATTCTTTGCATCTTTTGGAACATTAGTTATAGATGATTATTTTGGTCTCCAACAAAACTTTTTTTCTTTCATTATCGAGAAAATATTTGCTACCTGTTTTTCTTTTCGTCTAATAAAAGGTGAGACAAAAAGGAGATCATGAAACTAAAAACTATATAAAACATAATTAAGAAAGAGTGAGGGATCGCAAGCCAGTGTAATTCTGGATCTATTTTCGGAGAGGATTTTTGCTCTCCCTCCCTCTTCTTTTTTTGTTAAATGAGTAAATAGGAGTAAAGTAGTGACAACTTGAATAATATTACAAAAGTAAAATATATATATAAAACAAAGTTAATAATTAAAGCAATAATAAAATTATAAATATGGTTAATTGAAAAGACACTAAATATAAAACAATAAATGACATAAAAAAAGAAAAAAAGGCGGATGGAACTGATTATTTTACCCAAGAGGAATTAGCTTATTTTGATGACCCTTTAATTAACAAAAATTTAGAAAATGCCCAAGCAGTTGCTGAGTTAGTGGAAGATTGTAAAAAAGCTGAGGCAGCAACAAAGAAAGATGAAGCTTTATTAAATAAAATTGCGCTACAACAAACAAACCGGACTTTAGCTTATAAAGTAGTTAATTTCAGAGAAGCGAGAGTTGAGGTTGCCGTATATTTGTTATCGCTTTGAAGCGGAGCTGCAGGGAAAACTGAGGAGAAAAGAAATGAAAGAGTTAAAAAAATAGAAGAAGAAATTACTAATAACAATATTAAGAGAGCAGCAAATGATAAACTAATTAGAGGATTCAGAGAGAGATTGACGGAAGCAGTTGAAGAAAAAGGACGAGCCGAAGTGATTTATAAATCAAGGGCTAATTTACGTTCATTACTGACTGGCGCCGGTAAAGTTTTTATAGATAATGAATGAAAGGAATTAAAAGATGTTCAAAAGAAATATGAAGTTGCAGATTACTCAATAGGTGATAATGCCGGAA